CGCCATCCCTCCCTCCCTCCACATCTCGCCATCCCTCCCTCCCTCCCTCCCTCCCTCCCTCCGCACCTCGCCATCTCGCCATCCCTCCCTCCCTCAGTTGTTTATTGGAAGCGGAGTAGGTGGTTGCAGCAGCATGGCAAGTGGGAGCAAGGCAGGGTGTGCGGATGGTGGAGAAGGAAGCCAGAGGCAGTCGGAAAGAGGAGGGGGTAGAGGGAAAGACATTGCAAGCTCGAGCGCAACTTCGCTGGGGGTGGTTGACAAAGTCCCGACGCCGGCTACGGACCCATCCTTGTTCGTCCCGCAGCCGGAGGCAAAGCAAACAAAGCTGCAGGGCGAGAAGGAGGTGTGGAAGCATGTGGAGCAAGGTCAGGAGGCTGCGCCGAAAGGGGCGGGGAGAGTATTGGCTGCAGTGTCGGCTGTGCTCGTCCATTTACAGGGGCACGAGCACAAGAGCCGTTGAGCATTTCCTGAAATTGCAGAAGCCTTGCCCTTTCAGGACAGGCGAGATATTGCACAAGCTGGTGGCCCAAGGCGCGAAGGTGTTGCCGAAGGACAAGAAGACGCAATACCTTCGGCAAAATTACCGGCAGCTTCACAACATTTCGGCGGGGGGGGGCTGCTGTCAACGAAGACGACGACAGTGCAGTTGTACCCCGCGGTTATGAGGAGCCACAACCGCCGGTTGCTGCTGGGAGGGAGCCAGTGGAGGAGCCGGTGCAGCGGGGAAAAGAAACTGCAGCGGCACAGGCGGCGGGAGAAGATGGTGCTTCCACCACAAGGATGGTTTCAATGCAGCAAACGGCCATCAAGAGATGGGTTGACAATGCGGGGCAGAAGAAGTTGGACGTCGCGTGGGCGGAGGCAATGTTCAGAGACGGAATTGCATTCCAATTCCTGGAGTTCGACACCACGCAGCAGCTGCACAACGTGTATCTCGAGGTGACGAACGCCAGACCACAGGTGAAGTTGCCGTCTTCGAAGCACATTCGGACTGTCATGCTGGAGTTCATTTTCATGCGCATTCAAAAGCAAGTGGAGCCTTTGACAAAATGTTGGGATGTCACCGGCTGCACTTTCATCACGGACGGGTCTAACGATCGGAGGGAGCGGCCTGTCATGAACTTCTTAGCTTCGGGCGAGCAGGGAGCTGTTCTAGTGGCAGCGGTGTACATGGACGGCAAGAAGAAGACGGGCGCAGCGTTGGCGAAACTGTGGGAGAAAATAATGAGGGAGATCGGGCTGCAACGCATCAACGCGATTTGCACTGACAACGCGGAGGTGAACAAGAGAGCAGCTTAAATTTCGGAACGACGCACGTACCCTGCGATTGCAAGGATACCTTGGGTTCCCTGCGCTGCACACTGCCGCAGCTTGCTGCTAAGGGACATCAGCAAGTTGGACTGGGTGAAGGGCACGGTGAAGCGGGGCCACACCATCGTCAAATTTATCACGAATAACAGTTTCATGATGAGTTTGGACTCATAATTGACGCTGTTGCGACCAACCGAGGTCCGTTTCGGGTCGGTGTACCGATATTGAGCGGATACACAACCGGAGGGCAGTTTCGAAGGACATGGTGGACGCGACGAATGAGGGGAAATGGAAGGCGATGTTGTGGTCGAGCGCAAAGCTGTAAGCGAAAGGATCTCGTGTACTTCACAATGCGGAGGGATGCTTGGTGGAAGGAGCTAACCAAGGTGGTGGAGATGATGGAGCCGTTGTATCTCCTACTGCGGAGGATGGACAAGGACGGGACTGCACCGTCAAACCTTGTGGAGTACGACCGACTCATGGAGAGGATGCTGGCGGAGGTTGTGCTGACACCGAAGCAATGAAGTTTTGTGCTAGAGAAGGTGAGGGACCGCATGAAGATGATGCGGCAACCGGTGCACGTGCTGGCTTTTCTTCTCGACCCATGGAGGAGAGATCCGAAGTGGTTGTTGGACCGGGACAGCGCTGCGTTATTTGCAGAGGCAAATTGGCGGAGCTTGGAAGTCCAAGGCGCACGTGGATATAATGAAAGACATGCGCGAGTTTCACAAGTGACCCACCGCATACGACCCCAAGCGGAAGGACAAGAAGATGTGGGAAGAGGATGCGATCGAGGATGCTGACACTATCTCGCCGTCGGAGTGGTGGGCAACAGATGGTGGCGATGTGCCGAAGTTGCAGGCCATTTCTATCAAAGTGATGGGCATGTGGAGCACTGCGACTCCGGCGGAGCATAATTGGTCCTCGATGGACTTGATGCACTCCAAGCGACGGAATCAGCTGAAGCCCGCGACCGTGGAGAAGCTTGTCTACATAAATTGGAATATGAATCTGTTGAGGGCGAGCAAGAACTTGAAGGACCATCACTACGTCGATTTGTGGGCGGAGTTCTTCGAGTCTCTTCCGGATGCGGAGGCGGGCGATGATCCTCTTTTGGAGATGCCTGAGGAGGAGACGGAGAAAACGAAGGAGGAACAGGCGAAGGAACGGGCCTTGACCAAGTTACCAAAGGGCTGGATTCCGAAGAACCTTGAAGAAGATGAAGAGGAGCTCACGGACGACAGCGACTTGGAGGACGAGATATGGAAGGGAAAGGCTCCATGGTCTGAAACGTCTAGCGAAGGGGAGGCCGAAGACGGGTCCGACGATGACTTTGAGCTGGGAGCAGTGCCCTCAATCCCGGGCACCACATATGTTGGGAGGAGGCGAACAACGGGGTGCCATCGAGAATGCCCGCCCACAACGCCATGTCAAGGGACGGCTAACACAAGTGCACACTACGACATCCAATCTGATGTTGAGCTACCGCAGACGGACACCGACATTAACATGGTGCTTCGCCCCGGTCCAATTGACGCGGATGAGGCGGAGGCCGATCGTGCGAAGGCAATGGCTGATGCGGATCGCGAACGGGTGCAAAGGAGAATGAGAGAGGAGGAGCGGCGAGCAGCTGTACCAACCCGTAGAGAAATGGAGACACAAAAGAACAAGGTTGGAGAGCATGAACCAAAGCTTGTGCGGGAGATGGGGCAGCAGGAGGAGGAGGAAGAGGAGGAGATGGGCCAGCAAGACGAGGAGGAAGGACACGAGATGGCCCACCATGTGCAGGAAGAAGAAGAGATGGAGGAGGAAGAAGAAGAGGCTTGCATGGAGCAGCGAGAGGAGGAGATGGAACAAGACGAAGGGAAGTGCACGGACCAGCAAGACGAGGGGTTGGAGGACCAACATGCGGAACGGGTGGGGGAGAGCGAGGAGGAGCAGCAGCACGACGAGATGGCGAACAGCAAGGAGGAGGCGCAACAGCAACAACATGCACCGACGACCGTGTACAAGCGTCGGAAGAAAACAGCGCAGCCTGCCGGGTCACCGGAGAATTCCCCCGAATTCCCAAACAACATAGAGGGAAGCCAGCACGACAACCTGTGGGTCAGCAGGGTTGGGAGGAAGAGGAAGACGGCCCCTGTCGACGATGTGCCGAGGCTGAAACTTCCACTTGGCAGGCCTCGGAAGAACAAGACTGCCAGTCCGGCTACGAAGCCGAAAAAAAAAACCGGAAGTGCAAGCCTCGCACAAAGATTGTCGAGGATGACCCCGATTCCGACAGCTGCAGCGAGCAGTTCGTCGAAGACGAGGGTTGCACTGATGACTGACATTGGTGTGTGTGTGTGTGTGTGTGTGTGTGTGTGTGTGTGAGACAGAGAGAGAGAGAGAGAGAGAGAGAGAGAGAGAGCTGGCCAAAAGGAGACCCATCTCGTGTTGTTCTTCTTCCTCCTCATCTCGTGTTGTTCTACTTCTTGTAGTCCCGAGATTTTCCCCCACCAGCCATGTTGCTGCAATCAGACTCGCTTTCTTCTTCACTTTACATACATGCAAACAGTAGGCAATCCACGCTGGCGCTGTGCGCCCACACAAAGCTCAGAGATACTCGAGCCGAGCACACAGTTTAGTTACAAACTCGCTTCCAACCGGCTATGGCATCGGAGAGCTCACACATCCTTTGTTCGACACTGTGTCCACACACCGTTCACACGCACTCATCTCTGGATCACCCTGGATATCCCACGCACACAACCCTGTACCCAAACACACACACTCGCGCACTGATCTCTATCTCTAAGCTACAGCGGCTATGCCGCCTAACCCCTACTGGCTATGGACACTATCTCCCTTCGGCCCACTTCAACCTCGGGCTTCTACAGACCACCTCGCACAAGACGCTRGGGCAGCGCTTCCGCATGGCTCACGCAAGAATGAATGAATGGCTGGACGCTGCCTCTTGATTTATACTTCTGTAAGTCGCTGGTCTGCCCTTTTCCACCGGGCCCATGGTGCACAGTCCCTCATGGTTCTTGCTGACTGTACAAAGTGAGACTGGGACTGGGTACCGCTGACTAAGCGAAGTTGGACTCACCACTTGCCCACTTGCCTCTGGCCTGCTGTGTATAACGTGAGAAGAAACTTGAAAGGCCACTTCCGGACCTTCCGAAAGTTTGCGGACTTGGCCTTTCAGAACTGTAGCAGCTACGACCTTGACCTTTCAGAACTACAACAACTATGACCCCTATGCAGGTATGACCCGTACTTTGACAGGTCTAAAGTTCAAGACCTGACAACTACTCAGACCTACGACAGACAACTTTCAACTACTAACACACAGGTCACGGGTTCAAGACACACAGGGTCGACTTGATACTGTACACAGGTAAGGTAAGGTAGGGTAAGGTCTGGGGATCGAGCCCTGGGATCCGCATCTATGACTGCAGAAGGTGAAAACCGTTTTAATTGCCCTTTCTTTTTTTTTCTTCTTGCACAGGCGCCTCCCGTCTCGCCAGCCATCTTCTACAACTGCCCGCTGTCCACAACGGACCTGCTTCTAGCATAACATCCTGCGATCTTGCCGGCCGCCCGCACCCCTTCTTCTTGCACAACCTTCCGCCATCTCACCAGCCACCTGCTGCCCTTCTTCTTGCACAACCTCCTGCCATACCGCCATCTCACCTCCCCTCATCTCCCCAGTCCAATCCTTTATTTCTTCTTCCTCCTCCTGCTCCTCCTCCTCTTACACCTCCGCTATTCTTCCTTCTTCAATGTATTTTTCTTCTTAGCCTTTGTCGGAACTTCATCCTACTTTCTCCTTCTCCTTGTCGATTACCTTCAACAACCACCCTCCATCTCCGTTTTTTTTCTTTCTGCACTTGAGTTATCAACGTCAGCCTGAGGTCGTCTGCATACCATATCTCGCCATCACCAACACCCCTTCTCCGTCTTCTTCTTCCTACTGTTCTTCTTTTTCTTCTTGTCTTTCGTCTTCTTCTTCTTCGTCATCCACAACCAGCCGCCATCTCGCCCGTTCATCATCCACAACCAGCCACCATCTCGCCCGTTCATCATCCACAACCACCCTCCATCTCCCATTTCATTTTGTTTTTTTTCCTGCACTTGAGTAATCGTAGTCGGCCTGAGGGCGTCTGCAAACAGAATTCGGGCTGAGGTAGTCTGTATACCACTTCTCCCCATCTACTGATCTCCTGTCCTTCTTCATCTTCTTCCTCTTCCTCTTCTTCTTCTTTTTCTCCTTCTTCTTCCTCCTCTTTCTATCTCTCTCCTCCCATCTTCTTCTCCAACAGCATCACGGTGGGCAGTAGCAGAGGCATCGACGGGGGGAGTGGCCGGTCCGGAAGGCCGAGACCTCCAATAGCGGCACGTAGAGGAAAGGGCAAAGATGGAGCCAGCTCGAGTACACCCACATCGACAGTCGCTTCCAGAGACTCCGCGCGGGCAACAGACACCTCGCTGTTAATTCCACAGGACAAGACAAGTCACGTGAAGCTGCAGAAGGCACACAAGGTGTGGAAATATGTGGAACAGGTTCAGGAGGTCGAGCCGAAGTCTCGAGGCAAGTATTGGGTGAGGTGTCGGTTGTACTCGAAGATTTGGAGGCACGAGTACAAGGGTGGTGGAACATTACCTGAAGCCGCTGAAGCTGTGTGCTATGAGGACAGGGGAGATTGTCACCAAGCTCGTGGCTAATGGGGTGAACGTGGTGCAGGGTGACAAGAACACGCACTACCTGCTCAAAAATAACAGGCAGCAGTATGGAATTGTGGAAAGGGGGGAAGTTGAGATGAAGACAGAGGAGGTTGACGAAGAAGTTCCCGGATACAAGGAGCCACAACCACCGGCCACTGCGGGAAGGGCTGCTGGAAACATTAATGTGGGGACGGAGAGGGTTGATACTGTGGTGGCCAGGGTGGGAGAAGGTTCAGGGTCAAACACATGAGTGTCAACATTGCAGCAGGTCGACGATAAAGAGGTGGAGGTGGATGGGCAATGACACACAAAAGAAACTAGACATTGCATAGGCGGAGGCAATGTTTCATACGGGATTCCTTTCAACTTCCTCAACTTCGATGCAGAGCCTCCATGAAGTGTACTTGCAGGTGGCAAAGGCTAGACTGCAGGTTAAATTGCCCTCATACGAGCACAAGAGGCCCGTTATGCCAGACTTCATGTACTTGAGTATTCAGACGGCAGTGGAGACCTTAACAGCTTGATGGTTGCATACTTGTATCGCTAGTGTTATGAACCTTACCTGGAGACCTGTTGACTCCTGTATCCACTGGGCTCTGTCCCAACATTGCCCCAAAATGTTTGATCAGAGTGTAACTCTGTCTGTGACTAAAACCTACTCTGATAGACCTACCCCACACATGATACTATTGTCTGAAGTGTTATTAACTTATTACTGAATATGATAGGCTTAGTCCCATATACAGATCGTGTCAAATCCTACCCTACTCCAGGGAAGAATTCGCGTTCACAGATCAGCAGTTGAGGAGTCTAACTGATACCCAGTCCAGCCAGAGATTAATCAGATTTCATTACCTGGCTCATACCCTTGCATTCAACTAGTTAACTCTTGCTGTTAATCTGGGCACCAATAATATGATTGTCAGGATTTTGCTGGCTATCTAAAAGCTGATTACCAGGCTGATACCCTCGCACTCAGCTAGCCAACACTTGCTGATAATCTAACCAACAACCAGCAAATTTTCAGAACCTAATTGATTGCCTAAAAGTTGATTACCTGGCCAAAACCCTCGCATTCAACTAATCAATCTAATATGATCATCTCACCCTAACCCTCTGAGATTCTCGGATCTTCGCATTCTCCGCAACAATGGAAGCTTAACGATCCTGCAGCTAGTACCCCTGCAACCATTTTGGTTGGTAGTTGGTTGGGTAGCTCATGGGTCCTCGCTCCCCGGGAAATCGCAGTATCCCAGTGGGACTGTACACTAACTGTGTTTGCCGTTTCCTTGGTATGGGCCTTGCGAGACTTGATCCCGTGACCTGAAATTTGTACGTTCGGTTTGTTAGCTTTGAGCCCTACTGGGCTTGAGCCTTAAACCTGTAGCTAGTAATCTCTATTTGGCAGTCTTAGAGCCTTAGGCTTTGCTGTTTTGTCGTTTTCAGCAGGTGCTGAAGTCAACCCGGGACTCAATCCCATGACCTGTAGTGTGTTTGTGGTGATCGACTGTTTTTGAGCCTTATTGGGCTTGAGCCTCGAACCTGTCGCTAGTAGTCTCTACTTCGTAGTCTTAGGCCTTTCAGCCTTGTTGTTTTGTCCTTTTCTGCCCTTCTGGAAACTGGTAGACCCGTAGGTCTTTCTTTTGTGTGTCCTAGCCTTGGGTCCCCTTAGTCTAGGTTTCCATCTAGGTGCATGCAGGTAGATCTCGACTGTTTGGGCGTAGATGTTTGCTGTTTGGAAGGTCAGATAGGTCTGTAGGTGGCTGTTGTAATGATTCTGGTTGTCCTTTGTCTGAAGACCAACACTCGCTCGCATAGACTTCCAGGTATGCCCATACATACACAGAAGGGAGGGGAGAGGATAGGAGTATCACACCGCAAAGGGAGAGATAAACACAACAGAAGACTCGACCATGCGATATGACAGGGTACACTGAAAGTGCAATTCACTCCACTCAATCCTCACAACCAGTCATAAAGAACATCCGAGTAGATCACATCCAAGAAACAATGAAACGATGATAGTCCAAACCCAGTATCACACTGTTTATTAAACTCAGAGTGTTACAGACTCAGCCAGGGCTCGATCACTGGTCCGCGGGTTACCACCCGCCAGACTCCTATTTTATTCTGAGTTCCTGATTTCCAGTTCTAGAGTGCTGGCACACTCTGCAGTTGGCGCCCATTCTCAAATTCCTCCACTGGCATATTTGGATTTCGATGCTTGGCACCATCCGGCATTCTGGTGCCCAGACGCAAACCTGCAATCCTCAGTTCAGTCCTGAGGCAGTCCGCACCTCGGCCCTCCGAACTGAGCCTGAGTCCGGTACTTCCGGACTCGAGCCCCGTTGGGGCATTCAGTCTTCGGCCTTAGTGCTTGTGCTTCAGTGTGACTTGCCGCGACTTTGTGTTCGGAATCCAAGATTGCGACTTTGCGACTTTGGGACTTTGTCACTTCATGTCTGCGTCTGTCGTGTCAAGTCGACTCCGTGTCCGAGTCGAGTGAGTGTGTGTGTGTGTGTGTGCTCTCACTCTCTCCCTCTCTCTCTCTCTCTCTCCCTCAACCTCTCTGCCCTGCCTCGGTCTTCGTCACCGACTTCGGCGCCGCCACGTCGTCGCCATCGTCATTGTTGCCACATCGTCGACATTGCTGCCCCGTCATCGTCAATTGCTGCCACGCCATTGCCATCGCCGTTGTCTTCTTCGCCGCTGACACGTCAGCACCCCGCTGCCTTCGTCGTCGTCGCTGCCACGTCACCGGTCCCAAAGCCGACGCACAGGTAAGTGACCATTAAATTTTCCTTTATTCTCCTCCTCTTTTCCTTCCTCCTCCCCTCATCTCTTCTTCCTCCCTTCCTCCTTATTATCGTCGTCGTCATTGTCATTCCTCCCTCCCCTTCTTTCCCCCTCGTTTCCCTTCTCCTTCTTCCTCTCCTTCAACCGTCCTTTCAGCCCCCCTCGCCGACACCCACGCGATTTCCCGCCCCCC